CCGGGGCAGAGCCAGCGCTGGATCCGCGTTCCTGCTCGTAGCCCCGCTCCGCCCTCAGCCCGGGCGGGTCAGGCTGCCCCAAGAGCTGAATTCCCGATTTTMCAGKMTCGCTCAGGTTGGGAAACAYCYSTGAGATCATCSAGATCAAGCTRTGACCGGACAGCACCGTGTCACCCAGACCGCATCCAAAATCCTTCCTTCAGCACCTCAGGGACAGAGCCTCCGCCGCTGCCCGTTCCGATGTTTAACAACCCTTCCTGTGGAGAAAAAGAAACGGAGGACCAAAAAACCGAACCGGCCACTTCAGATGGAGAAACAGCGATGAAGAAATAGCAGTATTTCTTGTGCACCCCACGCATGGCAATAAATGGATGTCTAACTGAGAAAAAAGCCCTGCCCTCGTGCCACTCCTCGAAACAGAAAAGAGAAACAATTCTAGGGGGAAAAAAAAAAAAAAACCTGGGAAGATTCAATGAGAGCAGGATTGTCATATCCTATCATAMTGCATTATAAAGAAGGTATTTTTACTTCCATGCCAAAATAAGCAGTTTTATATCCACATTTTAGGCACRCAGAGAACATGAACCTACCTCAGCATTCACAAAGGTTGCTAGTGTCATGCCTTTCGACTCTAGGGTTTAGGAAAATCTCATTAAATGTAAAGAATTCAAAGGGTCTTCRTACAAATTGTAAAAACTAAAATAGAATCCCAAAACATGAAACAGTATCTTGAAAATAATTTCTTTTTTTAACTTTTTTTTTTTAAAAATGAGGTTTCTGAATTACTTGGGAATGTGAAGCTTTAAGTAATTTTGGTTCTATAAATTTCCATATATAAATAATATATATTCCATATATATAAATATGCCAGACRTCTTTAGAGGACACATTTAAAAGCAGCTCCTGAAGCCATCAGCATTCTTATATTAACAAGGCATGAGTATGCATTTGTGGCATGGAACAGGAGATATGCAAAAAGCTCCATCCAGAAAGAAGGTCTTGGAAAAAACATTTATCCAGTGTGAGCAAAATGGCAGGTGGTGCCCCAATTCTTTCTGTCTTGGTGACAGTCACCATGAGTACAGAGACAATACCATTTCACTCCCACATCCTCCAGGATGCTGAGCTTTAGGGCTCTGTGAGGGCACACACAGATCTGTGTTGATAGTCACACAAAAGCTGTTGTGTAAACGCAGATTACCATCAGCATGCAGGCAGTTAGATTGCTGCATCATGGACAATTTGGGAATTGCATTCACATAAAAAACTATTTTGCAACATTGATTTGTATTTCGTTACTGAGCAGAGCACAAAATACCTGTCTGTACTCTTGCTCTGTAAGATCATGAACTCCTGTTACCACCATCCATAGGTCTATGTGTGCTCCCCTAAAGAAAAAAAAAAAAGTTCATTTTCAGGTTGATATAACAGCATTCTTGAAACCTGTGAATCACAAAACCCACTAAATGTGTGTGTGTGGAGCAGAAGAATGCAGTGCCAGCGTGAGTAGGTGTAACCAAACCTGTGCCACCCACCCGGCTGCAGACACACCCCAAAATTACAGGTATTCCCAGGGCAGGGTTCATCCCAGTGGRATTTGAGGCCGTGGGCAGCTGTGACAGCCCATTCTTTGGCAAGAATTGCTCCTCCACAGATGTGCTCATCTGCTATTTGCACACAAGGCCACGAGTACAGTACAGCTTCTTCACCTCCCATTATCCTACTGAAGATGAACCTGAGCTGATTTGAAGGCATTCCACAAACATCCTCCGAAACACAAAGCACTGATTTCCAAGAAGCCTTTAGAGGTTAAGATTTGGAGAAGGAAAGAACATYCCATTTCAGGGCTACCCCACAGCTTCTCAAGCTCCACCTCCCYGCTTTTTGGCTACATCTTCCAACTTCCCTCATTAAAAACGATGCACATGCTTAGACCAGCATGAGGAGATGATCTTAGCAAAAACAGAGGTTTCACCAAGATGAAAGCTACCACTCACCTTAAAAAGTTTTGGCCTCAAACTTACAATAAAAATGGACACATCCCATTCTCCATAGAGTACTAGAGGGGGTGCACTATACTCTGGATATTCCAGCTGTCACCCAGGAAGGTAAGGAATAACCATGACCAAGAGATAAAGGACTGAGGCTGAAGGACTGTTCTATTATTGCTGGCAGCCTGTGCTGTTCTGTAATTGYCTCATCAGAACAGGGAGTCTCTGCTCTCATTTCACAACATTCTGTTGCAGCAGCCACACTCACAGGTTGCCATTACACACCAAACACCCCAGATACCTCATTTTCCCTGATCTAAGCACCAGCTTCAAGCAAGTGCTGAGATCAGTATTKTGGGATAGGTTTTCCCCTCATTTAATGTAAGCCAAGTGGCAAGCATTACACGAATGCTGCTCTGGAGTGAAGAGCAGCTGGATTTGGACAAGGAGATGTCTTGGATGCTTTGTGTGTGATCATTTCTATAAACCCAAATTGCTATGCTATGYCCCTTTTCCTCATTTACATGCATTCAGAACTGCATTTCACACAGAATTTAAACACACAACAATGGTTCTCTTCAACATGGCTTTGCTACAACAGAACACTTTCCTTTCATAGCTAAGTCTTCTCCTGGACACAGATTTTACCTCTCAAAGGAAAAAAGACCAAAACCAAACAAGATGAACAATGTCAACAGAGGCAGAAATACTGCAGGCCTTGAAGAGCACGGTGCATTGAGATATCAGCCAAAACTTCCCTTGGACAGAGTCCAGCCTTACCTCACTGCAGAACTGATACATCTGAAAGGACAAGTGAAGGAAGAGGGAGGGAACAAAATTATGCTTAGCTTAAGTATTTGACCTGAATATCTCAAAATRCTTTGTAAGGAAAGATCAATACTAAGGCTTTTCAGCTAAGATTTGCCATACAAATTAGCAAATCAGCAACAGTCAGAAGCAAGCTGATCACTCAGCTCCCAAACATATTCCCTTCGGGAATGTTTTGTGAAACTCACAGTCTTAATAGCACAGTGGCAGCTCCTCAGTGTAAATGTAAATCAAAAATAGAGGGATGCTAAAGCATTCATTTTGTGTAATGGYATTATTTTATCCATATTAGCAATCACTGCAGGTATCCAAACCTTGAACTTAGCATTCTGTCACATCCAGAAGGTTAAAAGCTGGGATGGGGTGAAGCCAAGCTCACAGAACACTGTACCTCAGAGGAGCTGTGAGAGCACAAGGGGTGGGAGGTGCTGCCTCTCCTTGCTCTGCTGCTTCTCAGGAAAAAGTTGTGCACAGTCCGTCTGTCCATCCATCCATCCAACATCCATCCTTCCATCCATCCCAGTCAGCACTGGAGAGGAGCCCAAAGGAAGCCCTGCACATTGAACTGCAAGACAAGCATCCCAATGAACCAGCACACCACGCTCTGACATGGACAGATGAACAAATATCCCCCAAACAGGCTACAAGACTGAATTGCTTTCCACAAGAATRTAATTTTTTTATATCAAATCAACTGCACATCTCATGTTTAATTGATGCCTCACTGACACACGGCCCAAAATAAATCCAATCCACCGCTTGATTTTTGGAGAGCACAGTGAGTGCATTTCAATCTGTTTTTAACATGGGAAAGATTTGCAGTATTGCTTTGCTTACAGAATATGCTCAAAACTCATAAATATGCCATCTCAGGCAGGCAGCAGTGAGATGAATTCTTGCAATTTGTTTCAGAAACATATTTAAGATAAAAACATCTTACATTAGCCTGGCTCTGCTGGCAYATCACATCAAGAACAGGACATGAAAGGAGAGAACTCCCAGTAACTGCAGGGATCACTGCACAGCCTGTTCCACAATGGGTCCCTCTGCCTTGCCAGGAGATGGAGCTGAGCCCAAACAGGGGGAAGAGATGAATGATCTGTCAAACTAACTTCAAAGGCCAGCAGAAGTTAATCCAAGAGTAATCCATGGTTTGCTCTTGATCAGCCAAGTGAGACCAGCTCCCCCTGTTACAGGAAACCAGCCCAGGGGCTTTGCTCTTGGCCAGCCTCAGGCTTCATGGCTAAATAATTTATTCTCAGGACCCACAATCAAATGCAATCAAGAACAGCTCACAGCCCTTAGCTACTGGAGATCAAGCCAGAAATGAGAACAGTGCAGAAGTAGCCTGTTCATGAAGCTATTTATGTTGTGCCAGAAGTGTAGAAAGGTGGATTTAAAGCTCTTGGGGGTTATTTCCAGGCTGGAATCTGGAGAGTGGGCTTGGGTTTGTGAGAGATTGCAAGATATACAGTTCTGACTTTAAAACACAGACCTGGAGACAGAGAACAAGAGAGACAGAGAAGGAAACTGCAAGAAAGTTAAGATCAGAACTTTATCTGCTGCTCCTGACACCAGCAGAGCAATGGGAGAGTGTGGGAAGCACAAAGTCAGCCCAAGCTCAAAGGGCAAGGCGTTTCAGAGATGGGGAAAGCCAGGCCTAACAGGATGGGATATTTCCTGCATTTTCAACTGAAATCAAAGCCAGCAGCAGGATCCCCTGCACTGAGATTTACCCTTCTGGCTGCCCCACATGGGCACAGCAGAGCTCCCTGCACTGGAGCAGCAGCGCTGTTCTGTTCCAGCTCTGCCATCAGATGGCACAACAGCACCAGCTCTGCCATGGAGGGGGWGATCTGCACCCCAGGATTTGGTGAATTAACAGCTGCCCATGCCAGCAGCTGCAGAAATTCAAATCAATCGTTTTCCCTCTGAACTGCAAGACAAAACTCATGCAAATACAGTGAGATGTTTAAAGTCGTATCAAAAAGT